GGGGGGCCCCCCGGGTGACGGTGGCGGGGTGGTGGGGGGCCCCAGCGGCCCCCTGCCCCGGGGCCATCACGGGAGCCATCAGCACATCAAAGGCCCCCTTCTCACATGGCGCAGGGGCACAATGCCAGGTGGCACCCCAAACTGGGGACGGGGAGGAGGGACACCCCCAGAGAGCAGCCATCACCCGCTTTGTCTGGGCGTGAAACCCATCACCGGGGAACTGGACGCATGACAGGATGCAGGGGAAGAGCATTTTGGGATTGCACAGGACCTACTACGGGATGTTTAGGGGAGGAATCAAACGGGGTAAAGCCCGGGATGAGGGGAAAAAAGGGCCAGTCGCATGCCAGCTGTTGGCTTGTCCAGCCTGGCGCTGCGCCTGATCGGCCCACCCTGCCCTACCTTGTTATTAACTTCCAAGCCTTTTCCTGGGTGAGGTACTCTCTGTTTGGGGGTGGGATGGGGTGGTCGCTATGGGGGTCTGAGTGCCAGGTCACAGGCGCCCGTGTGCTTGCGGTGCGGTGAGTGTGGGCGTGCAGGCGAGGACGTGAGCACTGGTAAAGGTCCGGCTGGACCAGCCGGCAAGGCAAGCAGGTGGAGTGGCCTGGGAGCCCGGGGGTCTGGAACGGAGGAGCTGCCCGTCAGAGGGACCAGGGGAGACCGGGGGGCCTGGGGGTCTACAGGGGTGAGACCCACTGGCGTCTGCGTCCCCAGAGGGTGAGGCCATGGCAGGTTGGTTGGCTACTGGAGGGACCAGGGGAGTCCTGGCCAGCTGTACACATGTACATGTGTGTGTGTGAGTGGTGGGGTCTGTACCAGCAACAGGAGCGGGGCTGCAGCCTCGGGGTCTCACAAGCCCAGGTGCCAGCAACTGGGGAGACTGGAATCCAAGAGCAGGCTGAGTGCCTGAGCTCAGCTCCTGGAAGGATCCACCATATACACCTGTATGTATGTATATATATATATACATGTATATTTCCAATTACTGGACCTCCATCCTGCTCAATCTGGGAGGGGAACAGGATGAGGTCATCAGTGCTGTTTGTGTAAATGCTCTGCGTAAATCTGTGTGGCGACCGTGTATACATGTGTGTATATATGTGTATACATGTGTATATATGTGTATATGTGTCTATATGTGGTGCAGACGTGCGTTTGTGTGCCTGTGCCTGCTGGCGATACACGCTCAGCCTTGCTCCTGGTTGCACCTGTGAGCAAGGAGGTGTGGCAGCCTTGCCTCTACCCAGCTGCCGGATCCGGTTCTAATTCCCCAACACTCTTTGTTTGACTAATTGTGGTTCACCTTTATTTTTCTTTTTCCTAGCTTATTTTCCATTTGTTTGCAAGCATAGCAAACTCCACCTTGAATCTGATCACCCAGCTGTCTCAAACCCTGGCATTAGCTCTGGAAATACTGATTTATGGGTTAGTGTGGGAAGTTGCTGTATTCCGGGAGGCTCTAAGCATATCCAAATTTCAGACGCAATCTTCGGACTGCGAAAAGCATTCTTCTGAAACGGCCTCATTCCTAGCCTATTCTTGATCCACATGACTCTGCTCTAAATGCTGAGCAATCCAAACTTCAAGATTAGATTAAAACACATGCATAGCTGCCAGTCCAACTTAGAAGTAATAAGAGTTTAGCTGAAAATTAAGTCTGTAACACATGATGCAGAACACAGTGGGTGGCAGTTCCTTATCTTTACAGAGCTGGTGGAGTAAACAGCAGTAAGAAAGAGACACAAGCTCATCACCGAAACCCAAATTACCCTAAGGAATGTGAGGAAAAATACCTGACCCTCCCATTTCAGAGAGTTGTGCTGCAGTCAGAATTCACCTGCTGGTGCTCAAATATTTAGATTTGCAGCTTGCATCACAGCCCTTTCCTCCCAAATATCAGTTTTGTTTCTGTCCTAGGACACCCGCCTACTTCCTGCACCACAGATAGTTCTTGTGAAGATCAGCTGTTGGTGGAAGTACCTGAATACCTCCTGAGCAGAGGTACCAACTAAACTATAGTGCACCAACTAAACTATACTGCACCAACTAAAACTATCCACCTGGCATTTTTTGTGATACAATGCTCGTGTATTATGCAAAGTGTGTTAACTGCACTAGGACGGAGGCCCACTGCAGGCTGCCAGTGTAAGATTTCTGAGGGAAGGGCCAGGCAGAACCGGCCCCAGGTAGAACCTGACGCTGGCTGCCCCACATGAAACACCAGTATCCTAACCGTGGAGCTACAGGGATTGGGAAAGGTTCATCTTTTGTTTAACAAGCTTTTTTCTTTTTAGCTTTGAGAACACTCCCACGTCTAAACTAGTGCATGCCAACCAATGTTGCATTTCCAGGGAACTCATATTTTCAGAGGAAAGCTGTTTTAATCAGAGTATGTCTGTTTAGATTCAAGCAAGAGCGCCAGCAACGAGCAAGCTTGTTCTTACCTTAGTTTACCCCAGAGGATGGAGCTGGCAAGTGACCCCACAGAAACACCTTACTGTGGCTTTGTGCGAATGTCAGCAGAGCTCCAACAGGTACAGTTCTCTGGCAAACACATTTCATGTATACAAAGCCTTGGCTCAGGGGACAAACGGGGAGCAGGCACAAGAAACTGGGTGTCAAAAAAAAATATTTTTTTTTTGATCCTGTCCACACCTCCACAACCTCATGGGAACAGAGACTGACCAACAGGGACTGATCAGCCACAGGGTGATCGCTCTGCTGTCCAAGCTCCTGGCAAGCCGTATTTCACCTTACACTAGCTGCTTCGTCACAGCGACCCAGCTTTTCAGTTTGGTGGTGCTGCCCTGTAGCATGAAGCTGTTTCCAGTCTCTCTCTTTCCCCTCCAAGTTTAGTGAATCCTTTCTCATGTTTCTTATTATTTTGCCTGGAGAACAAATTCTTCAGAGATAAGAGGAGCAGGGACAAGGAGGATTATTATGCAGTGTTTGCCTTGAGAGATGATTTTGTGCTTTTCTGTTGTGTTTATAACAAAAGAGCATTCAGAACAAAGAGGAGAGAATGAGAGCCAGCATGGGCCAGATGCTTCCCCCACAAGCCCTGAGTAACTTTTATTGTTGAGAGGAGCTGAGAAGGAGTGGGAAAAAGGAGGAAAGATGAAAGAGAGAAACAAGATGATGGGTGGGGAGTGGGCTGGCCCGTAGACAACAGGAGGTTAAGAGAGTGAGAAGAGAACCAAGGGAGAGACAGAAGGCAAAAACAAAAGGAAAAGAAAAGGCATAATGAGGCGAAGAAAGGCAGCACTAAAACAGATTAGAAGGGCAAGGAAGAGGAACAAAAGAGAATAGGGAGGAAAAGGCAGCAGCAAAGTACCAGAGGAAAAGGGATAACAGGTGAGTAGATAGAAAACATAAACACAGATAGAGAGAGATACAGGAGGAAATTGCGGAATTACCCAATTACCAGAGCACAGGCACAGCACTTCAAAGATCAGGGCATTAAACCAAAGTTGCCTTTAATCTCTGCCTTCTACCAGGGTGAAATGTAGGTTGGTGCTAATGCCTCTGAAAACTTTTCTAGTTAACCTAGTTGATTAATCAAAACAAATGAATCAAAAGGTTTTAATACCTTAACAATCACTTGCAAAGGGGAAGTAACCTTTGTAAAAAAAAAAAAGGCAAAACAAAAAATTCTGCAGAAACCAACATTTAGTACTCTTAACAACCACCTGCAAAGGGGAAGTAACCTTTGTAAAAAAAATTAATAGCTCTGCAGAAACCAACAGGCTAGGCAAAAAACCACAAGCAGTAGCATCGTATTGAAAATGCTGTTTCCGGTACCTATCTCGGTGCTATGTGAGAGACGTGACAACCCCCAGAAATCCATCTAAGTTTTCCTAATCCCACTTCCCATAACACTTCAGGCCTTGTCCTCTTCTTTTGCTGGAACTGGAGAAAGTCTCCTGCCCAGCATCTAGTCCACAAACCTAATTTTTTTCTGATGGATGTTGCCTGGGCAACCAGGCTTTCTAGCAAAGAGAGGAGCTATAAAGCTGTGCATTTGCCTTTTTCTTGTGCTATATATTTATCTTGTTTTATTCTAACGCTGGTCCACACCTAAGAATAGCAATAACGAAGTACATGCATGTGACTCAGAGTGCTGTAAATATATTTTTTCCATAAGCGACCGTCCTTCTTACGATCTCTCTCAGTTTCTGCCTCCTTTTCTCTGGAACATACAGGCAACAGGTGAGCTGTGTCCGAAACTGCCCCAAAGCCCACGTCCCAGTCCCGGACTGGGATGCTGCAGTGGCTGGGGAGGCGGAGGCACCAGCAGAGCTGGATGTGAGCTGAGGGGTGAGCTAGCAGGAGGCTGCAGGGCAGGAGCGAGAGCCTTTGGCCAAATATCTGTGGTGAGGTTTGTTAGTATATCAGCCACTGCATTTCACTGTGGTTTCCCTGCCCTCCTAAAGCAAGAAACTGAATTTGAAGGGCAATGTAAGAAAACAACCTGGCTAAAGAAGTTCAATTAAAAACCATCAGCATAAGTAGAGGAAAAAAAATGTACCGAGGAGTAAAATTGCAAAGATAATTTCCTAGCAAAGTCCCCATCGGCAGCACAGCAATAGGAAAATATGCCCAGTTCAGGAGGGTGGTTGGGCTGGGGGTCGGTTCGTGGAGAGGCCAGGGGAGGAACAGAAGGTACGGGATAGAGGGAATTAGGGTTGCTGTTCAGCCGACACCTCAGATGACCCTTCCCTCTTTTTCCTGAGGGCTGAACAGCACATGCATAGGAGTGGGTTGTTTTTGATGAGTCTTCACAAAACTAGTGCTTGCTTCATATTTCTCAAGAAAATACTGCATTCAGATGGAAAAATGTTATTTCTTAAGGAGGGGACACAAAGAATCCCTCTTTGGTACGTGCATGGCACCGTGCCAGCCCGACGGAAGGATGACGGGAGGTTTGATGAATTCAGATAGACAATGTTCTCTAGCTGCTCAACCAGCTGCAGTGTTTCAGTCACCCAGATACCGATCAGAAAGCACAGGTTTCCTCACAGCAGCATTTTATGCCCAGCCTGGTCAATCCAGCGCCAGAGCAATAGGTGCTGGGGCACGCTGCATGCTGGCACACGGAGCCAGTCTGGGCCTGCACGCCATGGCATGGGGTGGAGGCGTTTCAGCAGGGCGAGCTACCTTATCTCATGGCCCCATTTAGGCGTACTTCTCACACCCCAGCATTCGCAGGAGAGAGCTACACGCGCCGCCAGCACATACACATCCAGCGTGCAGAGTCAAACCCACCCACTATACATACACACTTGCCCAGCAAATACACACACGTATCGACACGGCAGCTCAGGCACAGAAACACGCCGACACATCACCGGGCGCCAGCGGAGCTGCAGATCACAGGCACCGCTTCTGGAGGCATTTCTCATCGAGCCCCGTTCTGCTCCCAGGTACCCGGCCCGAACCGCTCCGTTTTCCAGCAGCGGTGCGAAGGGTCGTAGCCTGGGGCCGGCGGGGAGCAGAGGCTGCGAAAACGGCTGGCTGAGATCACATGTGATTACAGCAGCAGGATTCGCAGGAAAGAAACAAAGCCCCTGGCTGACCCATCTCCGCTCCCCTCGCTGTTGTAATCTAAAATCAGCCGCTGTTGAGCTGGAAACACTCAGGCAGCAGGAGCTGAGCCTCCCCCTCTCCCTATGCGGGCTTGTTTCACCTCATGGGCTAGCAAAAGCTAAGCCAGTCTAGCACCCAGGGGTTTATCACCCCTCTTCTCAGCTGGAGATGCTCAGAGCTGCCCTGCTAAGTAGAACACCCCTGCTAAGCACACCCCTCTCCCTGCCGAGCTCAGCACCCCACGCTTTCTGCTCAGTAGCCCGGAGCACAAGGAGCGCCGTGCTTACGACAAGAAAGAGGGTGATGTGAAGAGTGCTCCAAAACACCCCACGCTGCCCCTGCGCTGAGATCCGGAAGGAGCAGATGAGGAGAGATGAGATTAAACCCATCTTTAGGAAGGGCCGCCTTACACGGCCAGTCATCACGCTGGGCATTGCCAGCAGGGTCAGCCACCAGAAAGGGGGCAGGAGGGATGCCGGCGTGCAGCCTCATCATCCCATCCTGGCAGCGCTGCCCCGCTGCCCTCAGACATGGGGTGCACATCTCCCCGAAGCCGCCTCCTCGTTTTACACCAACATTTTTCAAAGACCACACATTTGCCGATTCATGTTCCCTGTCTCTCCCCCAGCCCCCTGCCTCACCCTCCGGTGATGCCGCCCCGCTCGTGCAAACCCGACTGTCTCTTGCGCTGCTCCCTCTGGGTGCTCCACACACCCTTCATCCTCCCCCAGGATCATTCCCGCACCCTTTCACGGCTCGCTTCCACTCCTACACACACGTGGATCTGCTTGCCTGTGGCCTTCCTCATCTTTTTGAAAACTAGAGTGGTTACATCCGGCTAGCCGAGCTGCACAGGATGCTGTGTACGCAGATGCTCAGGGGTGCTTCCATGGGCAGGTGGAGGATTCTCTGGGGCCTGTGTTACACGTGCATCTCTATATAAAATGTTCATACCTGAGTAACTTTATGTTCTGATACATAAATAGATATGTAATGTGTGCTATTGCATGCCTGTACAAATACTAGCATGTCTGAGATTACCAGTGGATGAATTCATAATATTAAAATGCGTATGTGTGTATTACTTTATCTCCATATACATGTGCACATGCTTTTATTTCTGAGCATACATTTAAATATCTAAAGATATTTGCACACTTGCTGCTTCGTACATACAAAGGTATGTACGTATGTGCGTGTTCATATGAATGCATCCACAATATATAGCTGTACTTCTGTTTGCATTTGCATATCGGTGCTCGCATTCATGTATCTACTATATTTGTTTATATGAATGCATTTCTGTGCACCAGCGATCACCCGTTCCCTATTTGAAAGCCTGTATTTTTGTTGTTTATTTCTACTGGGCACACTTGGGCCAAAGCCAAACATTAACTTTCACATTCATGTTAGCATTCACATGAACAAAAATAAAAGCAAAATAAAATCCTGCATAGAAACTTCTGTAGGTAACGAAGGAGGATTTTTTTCCTTAGTATTTTGTTGTGCAAAAAATATCACTCTTTGTAGTGATAAGGCCTCAAAACCTGGAAAAAGAGAGAGCTTGAACAGTGGAGATAAAAGTTTTGCTGAAGGCATTAAGAAACTTAACACTATTAACCAAATCCTCAAAAAAAAAACAACCCTGTACTTTTCCAACAAGATGTGAATGGCAATACTTTTAATATTTTATATCACTATTTGTACCAGGGTAGGCCACAACTGCTGCTCGGCACAGCCACCCTTTGCTTTACACTTAAGTGTAAGGAGAGGTCCTTGGCACTCCCCAGCGGCAACACCCAGCAGATGTTGCTGTGGGAATTGCACAGGAGCCAGGGCTGCTCTGCCCCAGGGCTCTCCCAGAGAAAGCTTTGGAAACTGGAGAGGTCACAGTCCTGGCTGCATGGCTCCCTCCTTCTAATCCACGTTACTCCAGTGAGAGTCCTCCCCCCAAAATATTCTGCTTTTTCCAAAACAGCTCTAACTGTGGCCCTGTTTCTCACTAAGAAACAGGCCAGCTGCTGAGAGGTCAGGGACTCCTTCAAGAACAGGCTTAGAGGCAGAGATGGTTGAAATACCTTCAGCATTGAGAAGCTTCAGATGCGAGCTCCCCAGAGATAACACACATTGTGGGACAGCTGGGAGGAGACAGCCTCAGCACTGCTCGGTGGCTTTTGGTCTGTGATAGCAACAACTTTGCAAAGCATCTACACCGCTTGTTCCAACAGGGGCTTCGCTCTCGGAGCCATTCCTTCAAGGGACTGGCGTGGATTGTACAGGTGTGTATTACACAGAAAACACCATCGCAGCTGGCTCCAACCCTGCTGTGGTCTGCTGGAGCGGGCAGGCAGTGGACAGTGGGGATGAGCTCTCCATCCCACAGCCCCAGGTAGGGCTGAGGTGGTGTTCACAGGCAAGGCCATTGCACATCTTTCTAGGAGGGAAAGTGCTTGGCTGCAGGTTTGTTCCAGTTTAATTGACCAGGTGGGAACAGGGTGCACTTTGTTTGAAAAAGATTATACTCCTGAATTAGCTCTCCTGCCAAGCCCGTTATCGCTCTGCAAACAATGCGAGTATGGGGAAACGGACCTGGGAAAGCAGAAACTGGATGTGTAAGGAAGAGCATAGATTCCTCTGCTGATGACACAGATAAGCAGAGCCAGCCATTCCCCAGCTCAGAAACTAAAGAAATGAGATAGCTGGCCTAGGATCACAAGGAGCCATAGTGGAAGGACTACGTGCTGGCCAGTCCGTTGATCCCGGCTACAGACAGAGCTACAAGAGTGCTAACAAGGGGACCGACAAAAGGGAAACTACCCACAGGCGCAGACTGAGGGATCCATACAGCCTTTAAATTTGGTCTTTTCTGTCAGTGGTCTTCTCCCCACTAAGCAGCCTCTTTACACGTCAGTAGTTCCCCTTCTACAGAACTCTGCCCTAGGCAGGGCCAGACGCTGTGTTTGTACCCGTTGGCTGGGTGCCTTGGTTTCTGTGTGTCACACAGCCCTCCTCTAGCCAGCTCTTGGCACCTCCTGTATCCTTGCCTTCTCCCTGTCAGGCCATCTCTCTTCTGTTTTCCTTCTTTCCCTTTCTTCAAGCCTCCTTCCATCCCTCTGTGGTTTCTCTGTCCTGTTCTTGACTGCTGTATCTGTTTCCAAGCAGTGTATGTCTTTCTGTACACTCCCCCGCTTGCCATCTACAGCCTCTTCGCCCTGCTACTCATCAGTGGCTCCTCCTTTCCCCAGCCACACATCCCCTCATCCCTCCTTCTCTCATCATTTTTCACTGCCTGTGCCTCCCCATCCCTCTCCCGGCCTCTGCAGCTGTACCTCCCTCACTTGTGTCCCAAAGTCCCTTGGGAAAGGATGCTGTGGTCACCCCAGGGTTAAAAGCAGGAGTGGGGGTGGGGGGCTGCCCTTCTCTGTCCTCGATTAGTGCCATCGGCCTTTTGGGAGACAGGAGGTGGCTGGAGGGAGCCGGGCTGCATCTTCGTGCGGTCTCTCACGTCCTCAGCACGCAGGGCGAGCGCAGCAGCCCTGCCCGCCGTCCATCAGCTCTGCCAGCGCCAGGCAGGCCAGGGGAAGCAGCCTTTTCGGCGGACACAGCCAGTACCACACGTGGAAGCCTCAGAGAGGCGAGGACGGAAAGGGATCGATACAGTGAGCGACTGCTGCTTTTTTAGACAGCGGGAGCATGTTCAGTGTCACTGTCCTTGCGCTCAGCCGAGCCCCCTCCGTCCTGCACGCTGCTCACGCGTTCCTCTGGGCTGCAGCGAGGCTCCTGGGCTTTGCCTTCCCACGGCGTCCCTCTTGGCAATCCTCACTTCTGACCCACCTACTCACACATGCATATGTGCATATCTCAGATCCCCAAAGCAGCTGAATTTCTAAAGGAGTGAATACCTCACAGCAGTCAGTCTGACAGACATCCTCCCTGTAAAACTGAATCTCCTTGGCGATGGAGATAGTGCAGAGACAGATGTAACAGAATGAGGTTTTTCAGGAGTAAGAGCAAGGAGCAGACACCTCCTGTCGAGACATCCACACGCCCTTCACGCAGAAACGCAGTAGGAGAATTTAGGGGGTAGAAATAAAAGAAATGCCAAAACCAAAGAGGACCTGGCTGAGTGAGACCGAGCACAGGAATTTCGGTGTGGTGTCAGGGACTGTGCCTTTGGGCCAAATGTCCCCAGCTGAAGGACTGCTGGGTTATTCCTGCTTCTGGTACAGCCAGCTGGAACCAGACACAGAATAGAGCAGTATCTTGCCAGATCCTCAGTCTTCAGGGGACTGCAGAACAATATGTCAAGTGCTTCAAAATACGTTGCTAATTGCATGCCCCCCTGTCCGTCCGTCCGTCCGTGAGGCATGTACGCATACACACCGCTTCTGCGGCACCGGCACCGCAGGATCCGGACACCTCACCGCCTGGATTTTTCACAGCACCCCGCTGAAAGGAGAAAAGAGCCTTTTTCACATGCAGAACTGAGACAAAGAGAGACTAAAAGTAGATCCCAGACTGAGATGCCACAATGCTGAGCACAGCAGCACAAGCGCTTTCTCAGTCCCTTAAATGGAAACCAAAAGCCCGGAAAGAGATGAATATTGCTACTGCGGATCCAAAAAGCCAGCACCCAGGGGAGCTGCAGTGCAAAACGGCACAGAGCAAAACAGTAAAGCGCAGCACTCTTCAGGCTGTGTTGCTGTACTCAGCATTGCTGGGAGATCTCTCCCCTCAAAGGGGACCTGCAACCCGTGTCTTTCTGAACCGCCACTCACCCCGCTCTTTACTTCATTTCTGAGCTGCTAAAGAATATGCTTTTTCTCTCCATAGACCAAGTAGCTCTATGGTTAGTGCAATACCCCAGAACATGAGACCTGTGTTCAGCTTCTCCATTAAGGGACCCTGTTTCTACGTTTCTACAGTTCCACAGGTTGCTACTGGAGGACAAGCCCACTCACCATGCTGCTCTGAATGCCTGATTAGGTCTCATAACTACCTGTGGTGGTCCTTAAAATATACATATGCTCTGCCTAATAAATTCAAACATGCTCGTGGTGAAAAAATGACTGGAGCAAAGACTACAAGCCAAGATCACCTGTTCTCTATCCCTACGCCAGGCAAGGTAGGAATCAGGCTGCCTCGTGCCTCGTACCCAATGCATCCTTCATTATTCTTTCATGCAGATGTGTGCCACTGCCTGACCCAGAATTTGCAGCCAGTAACTTCTCAGGGCCTCCATCACTCCAGCTGTCTCCAGTGGTGAGAAGGGCTTCCCCCAAGGAGGCTTTTTTTTTTTTTTAAAAAAAAACACTAATAACCACTGCATTTCATGTCCTATCTGATCTAGTAGGGATGCAAACAGTATTTTCAGAAATAAAGCAATGACATAAATTTGCCTTCAGTATATGACAGCCACTCAGTGTATTTTTTGGGGAATATGTGTTTTAGGCATAGTTGCCTAAATATATATATGTACATAGGCACATCTCCCTAAGGATTCATGAGGCCCTATATTTAAATCTGTCTTAAGTAACGACCACTACACTACCTGTTTGTAGAACAAGCAGCTGAACAAAGGGTGGGTGACCTAGGACAGACATTGATGTGGGCCTGGGAACATCTCTCAAGGGAGGATGCTGTGTGCATAGGTGGTGATGGGCTACCACCTGTTTAGACCTACTTCTTAACTCCAGCCAGTGTCCTGGCACTACAGCCTCT